GAAAAAATGTTTATAAATATAAACTATCCATGCAACTGATTGTTCATAATGGACACCTAAAAAATTCAAAGGGTCACACGTTTGTTATGAAGCTGACTGTGAATTATTTGTCTGAATATCTGTTGTTCTGCTTTCCATACCTTGTTTTTGGTGTGTAGAAATTTCCCCCACTCTTCTCCATCCACTCCTTTGGGAAACAACATTGACAATGACATTATCAGTGACACAATACTAGGTCACATAACTTTTACTTTCTTCGGAGAGTTTACTCTGCTAAGTAGGATAGGCTTTTGTTTCACAAAAACGTTTTTCAAAAGCACCAGTACAGCAAATTAAACAAAAACTGCTACAAAACAAAGGCCAAGTGCAGTGCATTGTGGTGGGAAACAACATTGACAATGACATTATCAGTGACACAATACTAGGTCACATAACTTTTACTTTCTTCGGAGAGTTTACTCTGCTAAGTAGGATAGGCTTTTGTTTCACAAAAACGTTTTTCAAAAGCACCAGTACAGCAAATTAAACAAAAACTGCTACAAAACAAAGGCCAAGTGCAGTGCATTGTGGGTAGCACAGCATAACTAGCTTATTCTAACACACACTGTCCTAATAAAGACTTTGAATCTTCACTACATGGTGACATTTAAATAGCAATTGATGACTGTTAGAGAGTTATTAGTAAGTAAACAGACATTCAGAGTCCCAAATCGCTCATACTCACCACTTCAAATCTGAAACTGAAACTGGATTGTATGCTAAATTCTTCAGTCTTGGCTTGTTTAAGTTAAGCCATTGCATTGGCAGCGTAACCAAAGCTTATAATCAAATAATGGAAGCAGGATGAGGAAAAGCACAAAGCTGCTCAACACAAGCAAAAGGGCAAGGAACAAGGAAAAGGAGACCTTTGTAAAGGCGCCCATTTTTCCACACACTGGGGTCTGTGTTTAAAGAGAGATGACAGAGGGTTAGCCTGCAGCAATGCAGTCTTTATAGGACTCTAGAGTAGCCAAAACCACACAAATGCAGACGCCCATGCTAAAAGCTTCATCTATGGATTCTTATGAACTAGATTATTTGTTTTTTCACATATTTTATTTAAACAAACAGCACACAAGAATAAATTGACTCGGATCACTACCTTTCCCTTTCTCTTTTGACTTAGTACCTGACACCACTGCATCGCGATTGATTGAGCAACCAAATTAGAAACAAAGCAGCACCGAGAAACCTAAATCCCACAGACACACACTGCAGGTCATTAATTCATGCTTTTCTGAAATACAATTAGAAAAAAGCAGATACCGTTCTCCTCGCTGGTCTTTCTTCTGTCCTCGGGGTCTACGTGCACCAGCTGGAGGATGAGAGGCCTGCGGGTGACGATGCCCGTCCCACGGGGCAGGAGGTCTTTGCCAACTAAACTCTCCAGCACTGAACTCTTCCCGCTGCTCTGTGATTGAAATGAACCACAAAAACAAAGAAAGTCAGTACTGACTAAATACACCTGGATTTCTGAACATTTAGACCTAGTTAAGAAAAAAATATGATTGAAGCAACTAAAAGTTCACTTTGTTGATCAAACCAGTACCTTGACAGTTTAACCCTACTGCATCATATTTGAATTTCTAAAGCCTCTAAATGATCAACATGATCAAAACTGTCAAAAAACCTGTTATACACAATCTACTACATGCCTTCTGCCATCTGACTGATAGTTTATACGTTTCATAAAGTAAAAAGCCTTTTAGTCTAATTGTAATTTTTGAGAAACATTTATCTTTTCATCCCTTAATCATCATTGTATTGCATTGCATTATGTTTTGCCCCCACAATAAAAACTACAGCTTTAATTATTAAACCAAACATTTAAATATCATCTTACTAAGACATATTATTGGGAGATAAAGTGTGACAACTGATATTGCTATGCATTTTAATAGTCTGTTATACGGTTTTAAATAATCTCATTTCAATCTCATCACTATTTTTTAGCTATATAAATAATAAGATCAGCATTAAATTAAATATTTGCTCAGTTTGGGACTCTGGATAAAATTGAAGTTTTTTTTCCTCCTCAAATGTGAGTTTATATTACCACTATATGAGCCATAAAAGCCCGATATTATACAAAAAATGAAATACACATGCAAACTTTATTTTTATTTCATATGTCAGACTTTACAGGGTTAAGACACTTTCTTGGGCACACAGACAGCCATATCCTCTTAAGTGGTCAATGAAAGTCCCTGCTTTAAGACTCGTTAAACTTATTATACCTTAAGAAACTCTTCTTCTTCATGAGTCATCCATTAAAAATCTATCACAATACTATCAAGTATGCAATACTTCCATAACGAAATGATGCAGATATCTTGTGTAATATTAGAATGGAAAATATCCACAATCTTTTTTACCTTAGTTCTGCTCTATCCATTTTGCCCTTCATGTACAGTGAGTACTGCAGCTGTCCAGTCCAAACATGCTGCCAGAACTGTCAAGTTCTGACCGACTATGCCGCATCTCTTCATGTGTTAGCTACTGTACTCAGATCAATACAACCCTAAAACTCACTTTGTGATATTGCTGATACTGTTAAAACATAAACACATTCCTAACCTAATAGTAGGAATTTTCACATAATATGCCTGTGAAGTCAATTATTCAAATAGGAATCAGGAAACAAGCGAGGACTTGCGTTAGCACGCTAGTTAGCTGGACAGCGCTGATAAAGCTCGCTGCAGATTTTGATTGTATTGTCTTAATTTTCGGTACATTTAATGCGACATTCGTTTATTTGTCGTTGACCTTGCCATGTGTAACATTATATAAAAAATATCGCAACAATAAATAAATAAATGTAGCTAATACTAGGCTGTGTTTCAAAACAAGTGAACTGCCTAGCTAGGGGGCTTCACAGGCGCACTCGAACTTTAGATACCATTCCGAACTTTGGCGCCCAAAAATGCTGTCTACGTAGGTACCTCACTAGGTTTTGAGACACTGCCATAGACCTGTTTCAATCTGAATGGAAACCGCAGCTAAAACATTACCTGCGTTCCCACCACTGCAATCTGAGGCAGCTGGATAACATCCGCCCCGACAGTGTTAAAAACATCCTGGAGTTTGTTAATGACAGGAATAAGAGCCTCCATCGCGTTGACGATCTCTTCCCCTGTCAAAATGAATGAGCTAAGGCGAATACCCCGGCTAAACACGGCACAAAGTCATCCAATGTCCCTCACAGTGGCACCATGAACCGGCCGCGGAAAAAACGGAGCCCCGGTGCATTATGGGACTTGTAGTTTTAGACGAGACAACAGCTGTTGGCCCACTTTTGAATTTTCTGGAAATAAACTACATTTCCAAGCATTGTTCTGAGTGAATGCGCCAAGGCAACCGTAACCATGGGGTGCAACAAAAATATTTTGGAGCTTTAGGAAAACATGTCGAGGTAGCGCTGAACACAGTTAAAGTGGCAATATTACATAAATTATGACACATGTAGACACGTGGTGTTATTAATATGGTTATCTGAACAACTATAACTTACATCAAGATAAATGTTTTTACTAACTTTAAGTCGATTAACATTTAAATATATATACAGTATATATATATATCTATATATAGATAAGAGCCTTTTAATGTAACATTTGTACACACAAAACATGTATTTTACAATCAAAATGTTATGTCAATTCAAGTTTACTGAGGGTGCTAAAAATGCTCCATTATCAATATATATTTGTGTTAAATGAAAATCCTAAAGAAAAAGTCCATCAAACACATAATTTTCAACTCTATTTATTGTTAACCCAAGTATACATACATCTGGGTTCAAATTGTCCATTTCAGATTTATTTTTCATCCATAGGATTACAATAAAGAAAGTGCCAGATGAGTCTACCGAGACTCATTTCATAACAACAATGTCAGCGGGTAACAGTTAAAATGACATGAGAACTGCCTTTAAATATTGCACAGGATTATTCAACAAAACAGGTCACAGGTGAAGTCATACAGCAGCACAGCTGAGTTCTACATCGTACTTACAAAAAGAAAAAACATTGTCAGGCAAATGCTAAGTTGGAACATTCCCCTTGCCTTTTTTATTTTAGGGGTAACGCTGCCGTATAAAAACAATCTCAACTCGTATGTTTTGTTACAAACATACTCCATGTTCAGCCAAAATACACTTTCAGAGAACAACGTCAGACTTGTTGTACTTTCCTAAAACAAAAGCTGTTTACAAACCCAACCGGGTGACCGATGTCCACGACAAAAACTGAGACCTACTTTCTCTCAGCCATGCAAACTATAATACACATGGTCATAAAAGTGCTCCAACCTGATTACATTAAACTCAGTCTACCACAATGAGTGGGAAAGGCACCTCTCTATCTAACAAGTCGGAGTTTGAAAGAAACGACTTCAATATAATGAACTATATTATTAACATTTGTTAAGCTTCACATAAAAATAAGAGACCAGTTCATGAAGATGTGAATCTCAAAGATCCATACCATGAGCATTCAACACCAACACAAATTATACAACCTTGGATAAGAAGAGAAGATAATGGAAGAGCTAAATGATCGGTCTGATGCTTTCATCAAATTATGATTCAGGATTTCAGCACATTTGTTCTTTCAGTATAGTAGGAGATTTTAGTCGCCAACTAGGCATGAATTTCTTTTTTGTGCGTATAACAACTTGTTTCATATGATCGAGAAAGTGCAATTTAAACATTAATGCACACTAATATTAGAGGGTCATAAAATGTAGTTCGTTATTATTAACAAATTAATGACCATTTCATTTTTTTTATTTAGTGCCGCAGGGATGAAAGCAAACTCATAAAACCCCTAAAACTAGACTCTCAGGCTATTAAAGGAATGGTTCACTCAAAAATTAAAATATGCTGAAAATACATATTTCTGCAGTGAATGGGTGCCGTCAGAATGAAAGCACAACTCCAGTCCAACAATTAATGTCTTGTGAAGTGAAAA